ATGTCAAAAAAACAACCAATCAAGCCTCGTTCATTGCGTAAAATTAGATATCGTTCATTTTATTTCAAAAATGATGGCAATATTGTATTATTTACAAATGACTTCAAAATATTAGTTTATTCACACATAGGTGATGAATTAATTTTAATTTCATCTCGAAAGATCTATTCAGATAAAGTACGCGAAGTAATGATCGAGGATAATAAGATATGGGCCATTTCTTCAAACTATTTATTTCAATGGGACTTGGATGCATTTCAATTCGAATTTAGTTATTCACTTTGGTTTACGACAAACCAAGTTGAAAATGTTACAATGAGAGGAAATTTAATATTGGTAAAATATCGCAATGAAATTTCGATATTTTCAAAAGAAAATCATTTTCCGATTCGAAATATTCGAATCGAAGGGGAAGTTTCGATTAAAATATTAAGTAATTACTATCTTTTGGCTTTTAATTTGCCCAAGAAAGACGAGAAGCAAGATTTAAGATTATATCACACAACTGATGACAATAAACAACCCGTAGAGGGATCAAAGATTTTTAATGATGACAATATTGAGAATGGTATCATTCCATTTGAATATAATTTAGAATCGAGGAGAGCATTTGGATTCGTCGATTGTAGAATCTCAAGTATTAATTTAACCAAATTTAATTTGCATGAATGGTTTGAAGCAAACCATATAGATGATGACATTATTGTTGGTTGGAATACTTACTTGAATCAACCCTCCGAAAGTCAATGCAATGATACTTTGGCTTTTCCTGATTTAGAAAATATTAAAACTTTAGTTTCAAATCAAGATAAAATAGATGATACATATGATGAACCTGTAGATTTAAATTTCAATAATCTAAAATATAAATGGAGAATAGATCAGAAAAACAAGAAACTCTCAATTTACGAGCTACCCCCTCAGATACAAGTGAAGAATTATGTTCGAAAGAATTAAAAGAATTGGAAGGTTTTGATCAAATTGTTCGTTATTGGAGAATTCTTGATAATAATGAATTAGCATTACATCAAACTATGTGTAATGATTTTAGACCGGAATTTCGATGCATAACAATATACAAATATGATAAAAGTATTAAAATTAAGTATTTTTACTTTAATGACGATGAAAACTTTAATGCTGAAAATTTTGAATCTGGATTACCAATGATGGATGTTGAAGCTTTTTTTGAGCATAAAGAGAATTCTTTTGTACCTTCGTTTGATGAATTGTTAGAAAGTATCATCGGGGATGATAGATGTCTTGCAAAATATGGATCTACTTTATTACCAAAATTAATCAATCAAAAATCAACTAATTATGTAAAATCGATTCGATTTATAGTAAATGCACAAAACTTGTTAAAGAAGATCCAAAAAAAAATCTCAAATTTCTCAATATTATAACATTATCAATGAAAGAATTATACACAACTTATCCTGATTACATATCAAAATTTAATTCTGAAATTTTCATGATCTTAGATCCTTCTTCCGAAAATATTATTGACAGTAACTATCTATATGGCGATTTATATCATTTTTATACCTTTAATGAAGAAATCGAAATCGAGTTAGGAATGTCCAAACATATCAGAAAGATTAGTGAATACTGTGCATTTGAACTTGGTATTATTTTTGTATTTTCGACATTATTTATACCATACAATGCTCCTTTGTATTTTTACGCTATATTGGCATTACTGATTTCAACGCTGTTGATATTGTCGAGATTTACATCGGTAATATCGATATTATTAATTTTCTTGAGATCGGTATCATCGAAGATAATTGCAACATTTTATTCATATTATTATAAAATATTCGAAAGAGATAGTAAAGTTAAGCAACGCATTACTCTTGTAGTTCCTTATGTAAATTATTCTTGCTACACTTTAGAATACAATTGGTTGAAGGAAATATTTAAACCTCAATCAAGTGTTTTTGTTGATACATGTAAAAAAGATTTCTATACAAATTGGAATGGGGAAGCAATCATTGATTTCAAATGGAAAAGTTCGGAAGGAAATGTTATTTTGTCATTTGGTTTAAATTTATAGTTTTCTTTTATGCTTCACAGTTGCTTCTTACTCCTCAAATTTTATTACGCAAGAAATTCGTAATAAGCTTTACCAAATCTCAATAGGTATTGGATTTTTATATCTTGCATCTGAGTTAAGGCAATTTATTTGGAACCCTAAAAAATATTTTAGTCGTATTGTGAATTGGTTTGGTAAATATAATTTTCAATTATTTATAACGGAATGAAATTACGTTGATTTTAGATTATTAAACTTTAAGCAATTTTATTTTAATAAGATTTATGTGCATACCTTCCTGCTTTTCTTGTATCGATCTATTGGATAAAACATCAGAGTGCACCTTACTGGGCACTATCAGTCTCATGTTTATTTTGATATAAAACTTTTACTCTTCTTTAGAGTATTTGAATCCTTTGCTGTTTATTTCGCAATAATTTTTGGAGTTGCTAAGCGTGTAATTTTTTTTTTTAGTTATATTGGCAATTATTCTCGCAAGTGTTACACATGCATTCTTTTTTCTTTTACATCCTCGTGATTTTTCGGATTCATTAACGACACAAGATCCAAGCGATCCAAATAACCCATGGACTATTTCTAAAACTTTTCATCAAACTGATGAAAATGGAAAAGCTTGAAAGCAAACTCTTGTTCAAACCCCTGATGAAATACAAATTTATTTTATTCATATCCCACTTCTCTTCTTGCAATGTTCTTATTCTTAACCGGTAACTTTTTACGTAGTAAAGATAATTATTAAATTACTATTTATTATTTATTAATTTATTTATTTATTTTTTTTTTTTTAGGAAATCAAGATTCATTATTGCTTTGATACCAAAGTCAGAAAATATGATGTTATTTATTTTAATGACTGATTTTTCGATTGTAGTTGTTATATATTTAATGAACTTATTTATTGGTCTGCTTAATATGGCAATTGAAAAAGATAACGATAGAGCCCTGTATTTAGCACAAAAAGCTGAAGTTATAGCAGACATTGAACTTTTTTTTTTATCCCCTCGTCAAAGACGTTTGAGAACTTGGTTTCCCGAAGTAATGTAAGTACATTTCGTTATTCAAAAAAAAAAAAAATTATGGCTTATTTCAACATTTTCCTTTGTTATGTTATGCTTTTAGACGTTATCATGTAGATGTTGAAATGGCTCGGAGATATATAAAAGAAGCCATTAAAAATGGTGATTGGAATATGGACGATTGGCCTGAAATGAAACACAAAATTTTGAAGCTTCTTAGCATTGAAGATGCTATTAAACGAGATTAGTCAAGTTGCGATTTTATTTTCATAATAGAATTAGCAATTATACTATATTACTATAAAAATTGAATTTTATTTACAAATATTGTATTTCCCTATTGATTTTTTTATCGTTTTTAGTTATTCTACGATTAATAAAATAATCTACCTCCATTATTTGATTATAATATTGTCATTTCATTTGAATCAGAGTAACTTGAATTAGCTTCACTGAAATTAAGGTGTTCCTTGTTTCATCCAAATTATTGATTGATGAAAAAAAATTCTATCGTCTTAATCTTCTAGAGTATTTTTTATAGTTATTCTATTTCTATTACGCTTTACCGATTTCTTTAGTAAATAATGTTTTTTTAAAAATTATGATTACCCAGTTCGATTCCATAATCGATTATTCTTGATTTCAATTTCCATATTAGAATTTCGCTCAAAAAGGAGGATTAGATTCGGATATCTATTGTTTCGGTGTAATTATGGTCTGGATACTTCTGATAGTAAACATCATTTAAATGCTTGTGAAGGACAGACGTCGTCAAGATTTTGAAAAGGAACTTCTGTATATAAGAAATTAACTTATCAATAATTGTAGTTTTAATATTTACATTAAATTCTTTGTGTATTATTCATTCATTTTAAATTTGTTTCTAATATAAAATATTTGATAGGATAGGATCGAAGTATTTTAACAAATTTAATTCTTTGCCAAATAGTCAGTCTATAAATTACGCATTTATCACTTAGAAGAGGCGCGGTAGAAGTTGAAAATGAAATAACAAGACGTCAATACAACTCAAATAATTAGATTAAATATTATGGATGTGATATCGTTTGTATTTAATTAAATTGATCATCATCCTTCTACGGAGCAGGGTTATAATAATGTTCTCAAAAATAATCTTTTACTGGTTAATATTCTTGAAAATAGCATGTAGTAATTTCGTTATTTTCACTTCGGGTCGCATTGATTTTTTTCGGGTTATTTTAGGTTTGATCACTTCAGATGATTAGATTATTTTTCTTTTAGTATTTACTTCTTTCGCGATCACTTCGGAAGTGGAAAGAAGGTTGTTTGTTAAATTAGAAAACGGATAAGGCGACTGTCATGTATAATCTTTATTTGTTTTTAATAAAGAAAATTAAGATTGATAAATTTGTAAGTTTTATTTGAGATGTTGTAGGTAGATACAGAGGAATTTCAGAACAACGAACAATTAATCTTATATAACCCGATTCGTATCTTTTCATTGAATTTAAACTTTCCATAAATTCAAAATCGTTAAGAGTGCAAATATTTCTGATTCAAACATAATTAAAATTTTGTACCAGCTTCGGAGATCAACCAAGCAATAATCACGAATCACAAAGTTAATATTTTGAATAAAATTTCTTGCTTCATTAAGAAATATACCTCAAGCCCAAGATGATCAAAATATCATTAGAATGTAAATTATGATTTTATTTTCTGATCAAACAGCATTCTGATGAAATTAAAGTGAATATCATCAATGTCAACATTTTTTTAAAGTTCATTCCTTGAAAGATTTGAAAAAACATTTTTAACTTATTTTTTTATTACGTATGCGAAAATTCAAAATTCTTTTTAAAAAAATGAATTTATAAAAAACCAACTTCTCAATAGTACAAAATATATAATGCTGAATATATAAATAAAAAGAAGGGCAGGGTCAAAATTAAAATTTAATTTCATTGAGTTTTCGCTTTTGATACCATTTGTTGCCAAGTATCCCAATTGTTATAAAAATAACGACACCTAAAATTCCGC